GTTAGTTCTGTGGCTGCAGCAGCTCATCGGGCACCCCAGACTCCGGCGAAACAGGGCATGGGGATGAGGTGCTCGGGTGATGATGGAAATGCGGTTTTAGGCGTGATGGGTGATGTAACAATGGCGATGTCCCGATTTCACACGCACACATTGCGACTATTTTACTTTAATTATTTATACAGGATCCTGCCATGCTCGATGCAATTTCGGGGAGGTATGTAGTGGGACCTGTGGACAATGCAGCCACGCCTTCTCGCCAACTGTCCATGGGAGTGTGCGATTTCCTGCCATTTCATGTCCCTCATTTGCAGCCTGGGCATTCGAGGTTTTTGTCATTGCCACTGTCCGTGCTTCATGCAGTCGGTCCAGCGAGACCTGTAGGGACACCAGCTGACCTGACGCGCTTTTTGGAGCCTTACCCAGCTGTATTTCTATGGGAGGTTCAAGCTCCCTACCGTACATGAGGTAGAAGGCAGAAAACCCCGTGGAGGCATGTGACGCTAGTCTGTAAGCTGCCAAGACCCCTGGAATGTAAATATCCCAGTCAGTTTGTGTCTCATTAAAAACCTGGCAGAGCATCGATGTTAGAGTCCTGTTAAACCGTTCGACCATGCCATCCGTGTGGGGGTGATATGGGGAAGTATGCACTTTCGTTGTGCTTAGTGCCTCGCATACTTCTTTATTGAGTTTAGAAGAAAAATGTATTCCCTGATCAGTGAGGAGCTGCTCAGGAGGTCCTTTATCCATCACATACCCATGAAGGAAGGCGTTGGTAATTGAAGCTGCTGTCTGGTTGGGCAGCGGCCATGCCATCGGCCACCTTGTTAGGTATTCTACTTCTACCAGGAGAAATGTATTTCCTCTGGATGAACATGTTAAAGGCCTTAGAATATCGACCACGACCAATTCGTTGACTCTGGACACAACGATGGATTGTAAGGGAGGCTGTGAGCTGTGCCACGGTGGTTTACGGCGTGCGCACTATGTGCACCCTGCAACTAAGTCGTTACCATTTGCAGACATGTGCAGCCAATAATAATCCAGCTTGAGGGTCAGGAGTGGTTTGCGACATCCCAGGTGCAGTAACTTATTTGGGTGGATCTCCCGCATCAACTTGACTCGCACGGATATGGGTACCACCAGGCACCGTCCCACCACATCAACAATATGCCATGCAACACCAAGTGCGACCATTTTTGGGAGTTTGACACGGACAATCTAGCCTTCAGTCGGCGGCGCAAGGGTAGCAGGCAGTGTCATCGACTTGCAGCTGACCCCATTCCGTATAAGTTAGACCCAGTGCGTAGTCCCTGTATGGTTCATTTGATGGTGGTTCCATAGGCTGAACCGCTGTTACCATCACCGCCATTTCTGGGGTGGTTTAGATCTGCCCACACCTGATATGCATGCACACAGTTCCTTTTGAGGTAGCCTCGACAATGCATCAGAATTTCCGTGTTTCAAGCCCTTCCGGTGTATAATTGTGTATAAGTACTCCTGCAATTTTTCTAGCCAGTGTACTAGCTGATCTGACGGCTGGTCTATACGCAAAGAGTATTGTAGGGCAGCTTGATCGGTGAGAACTGTAACTCTCCTGCCATATAGGTAGGGTCTGTATAGTTGGACAAAGTATACAACCGCCAGGAATAATCTGAGAGTCATGCAATAACGTTGCTCCGCCGGTGATAGAACCTGACTACCGTAAGCGAGTATGACTTCAACCCCATCCTTCAGCTGAGACAGAACAGCTCCTATGCCTAGATCACTGACGTCTGTGTCTAAGATGAAGGGCAGGGAGAAGTCTGGTATGTAATAGCGGAGCATCAGTGAGCTGTTCGCGCAGCGTGAAAAAGGCTGTATCTTCTTCCATTCCAAATGACATTTTTGGTTTTTAGGTGTTAATTTGCAGGGGTTTCGCAATTGTGACGAAATTTGGAACCAATCACCGATAATTCACTGGTCTACAATTTTTTAGACGTCGTCTGCTTCAGAGATGAAATGTGCTGTTTAGAATGGATTTTGTTGTGCTGAATTCAAATATGACAATAAAAAAACTGATTGGCTAGAGTTCCCAAGATATTTAAGTTTTTACGTATACAGAGGGAAAAAGAATTTGATCCCCTGCTGATTTTTTACGTTTGCCCACTGACAAAAACATGATCAGTATATAATTTTAATGGTAGGTTTATTTGAACAGTGAAAGACAGAAAAACAACAAAAAATCCAGAAAAACGCATGTCAAAAATGTTATAAATTGATTTGCATTTTAATGAGGGAAATAAGTATTTGACCCCTCTGCAAAACATGACTTAGTACTTGATGGCAAAACCCTTGTTGGCAATCACAGAGGTCAGACGTTTCTTGTAGTTGGCCACCAGGTTTGCACACATCTCAGGAGGGATTTTGTCCCACTCCTCTTTGCAGATCTTCTCCAAGTCATTAAGGTTTCGAGGCTGGCAACTCGAACCTTCAGCTCCCTCCACAGATTTTTTATGGGATTAAGGTCTGGAGACCGGCTAGGCCACTCCAGGACCTTCATGTGCTTCTTCTTGAGCCACTCCTTTGTTGCCTTGGCCGTGTGTTTTGGGTCATTGGCATGCTGGAATACCCATCCACGACCCATTTTCAATGCCCTGGCTGAGGGAAGAAGGTTGTCACCCAAGATTTGACGGTACATGGCCCCGTCCATCGTCCCTTTGATGCGGTGAAGTTGTCCTGTCCCCTTAGCAGAAAAACACCCCCAAAGCATAATGTTTCCACCTCCATGTTTGACGGTGGGGATGGTGTTCTTGGGGCAGTATAGGCAGTATTCCTCCTCCTCCAAACACAGCGAGTTGAGTTGATGCCAAAGAGCTCCATTTTGTCTCATCTGACCACAACACTTTCACCCAGTTCTCCTCTGAATAATTCAGATGTTCATTGGCAAACTTCAGACGGGCATGTATATGTGCTTTCTTGAGCAGGGGGACCTTGCGGGCGCTGCAGGATTTCAGTCCTTCATGGCGTAGTGTGTTACCAATTGTTTTCTTGGTGGCTATGGTCCCAGCTGCCTTGAGATCATTGACAAGATCCTCCCGTGTAGTTCTGGGCTGATTCCTCACCTTTCTCATGATCATTGCAACTCCACGAGGTGAGATCTTGCATGGGTCCCAGGCCGAGGGAAATTGACAGTTCTTTTGTGTTTCTTCAGTTTCCGAATAATCGCAGCAACTGTTATCACCTTTCTAGATTGGAAGCTTTCGTGACTGCAAGGATCCATACTCTTTTAACTTTACCGAATAGAACCAAAGAGTATGTTATCACCTTTTCACAAAGCTGCTTGGCAATGGTCTTGTAGCCCATTCCAGCCTTGTGTATGTCTACAATCTTGTCCCTGACATCCTTGGAGAGCTCTTTGGTCTTGGCCGTGGTGGAGAGTTTGGAATCTGATTGATTGATTGCTTCTGTGGACAGGTGTCTTTTATACAGGTAACAAGCTGAGATTAGGAGCACTCCCTTTAAGAGTGTGATCCTAATCTCAGCTCGCTACCTGCATAAAACACACCTGGGAGTCAGAAATCTTTCTGATTGAGAGGGTGTCAAATACTTATTTCCCTCATTAAAATGTAAATCAATTTCTAACATTTTTGACATGCGTTTTTCTGGATTTTGTTGTTGTTATTCTGTCTCTCACTGTTCAAATAAACCTACCATTAAAATTATAGACTGATCATTTCTTTGTCAGTGGGCAAACCTACAAAATCAGCAGGGGATCAATACTTTCTTCCCTCACTGTATGTCGCCCAGTGATTGTGCCTAAAGTGTGAGACACGTTGTGTCTCGGAAGTCGCTCTCTACACCTGTGTGCTGTGAGCCGTTAGAAATAAACACGTCGTTTTGGAGCCGTGTCACCCTCTCGAAAAGTCCTTCTGTGTGCATGTGGCCAGTGTAGGAAGTGAGAGCAAGTTCGTGTCGCAACTGACGGAACAGAGGATCACACAGTGAAACCAAGGCAAACAACACAGGAGTGTTAAAGGCAAACAACACAGGCGTGTTACCAAAACTTTATTTCGTCATTTATTGATGACCACCCACCCACGTGTTCTTGATAATGGTCACGGCCAGGAAAGATCGAAGCATAGTGGGCACGGGTCACAGCTGCTGCTATATATTTCCACATAAGCCACTCCGTTGAGCTATCATTGCGTATGAACAAAGCTACAGAGCTCAGTGGGCCTTACCTGGTCAAATTAAAATAGTTTAGTTAAGCATGCGTATCTTCATGCTTCATGTAATTTTCATTTATTTTTGTTCCATTATCGTTTGTCAATGTCCCATTTTTCTGATCAAAATTCATGTACACGGTTTAAAATCCTGTCTGTTCACAAACATTCGGTTGTTGCTTCCAATGTCAAATGCATCTCCAAAGTGTATTGGCTGTGATCACACACAGTGTTGTGAATGGAGGGCGTGTCTGATCACGTGATGCTCGTGGCTTGCTGTGATTGGCCACAAATACTTTCAACATAACAATTCCATACAACCAGGGCCGGATTAAGGCATGGGCTTTAGGGGCTGCAGCCCAGGGGCCTCCGCATGGCCTCCAGAGATTAGGTGAAAGTTTGTTTCACTTGTGAATGCTGAATGTTATTTCTTGTTAGCCTTGTAAAAATACATTTAATTTTTCTTTAACTTTGTTTTCCTTTTGAAAATATTACTGGGGGCCTCACAGTACCTCAAGTCCAGAGGCCTACAAAATCTTAATCCGGCCCTGTATACAATGGTTATAGGATGAAGATCTTTTTATTCATTTATTCACAAAAAACTTAACCATTTTTTATTTTACCAGGTAATGCGCACTGAGCTATTTAGATATTTTTCATAAGCGACCTGGCTATCACAAATGATAGCTCTACGAAGTGCCTTATGTGGAAATTTATAGCAGCCAAAAACGATAAACACATGTTGATTCTAAATGAGAAGGGAAAAACCGGAGGGCCCGGAGAAAAATCCACACGACCATGCAAAGAGAGACACGCAAACTCCAAATATACAGCAGGCGTCAGAGTCAGGATTGAACCCACGCGCTCTTGCACCGTGGCGAGATATTAGGATTATTTTTCAACGTGGCCCTACAAATGTGTAATTAGCGGCTCCGACATAGTACGTAACTTCAAGGTATTTATTAAATCTTCGGTACAGCCACCTCTCTCTCTCTCCGCAGATGTCGACCCGCTCTCGTGGCTGCGTTGCCCCGAGCCACATGGCGCTCACCCCGCCTGCTAACGCGCTGCTGGCTGGCGGCGTGCTATGGAGCGGCTGAGCGGCTGGAAGTCGAACTGCCACGTGGCAGGTGTAAATGGCGGGGCAGCAGCGGCGGGGAACTCCTCTTCGATCTTCAAACACCGACCACGCACGTTGCTGTACCCCCTGCGTATATCCCCTACTCGGAGACTAAGCCCCGCCTCTGGCCACGCCCCTCTTGGAACCTTCAAGAACGTTCCCGAGGATTCCCTGCTAGTTCCGCCCATTCACCTTTCCCCCCGATAGACTTCCTACTATCGAAAATACGTGGTGTATAAATGTAATGTAATCCCCACCATAATGCAGGAGATGGCGCTCTCTCATTACAAATGGATGAAAAAAATAAGATTAGGCTTGACCATTTCTGGCAATAAAACAAGGCGTTAAGATTTTCAAATCGGTATCTATGTGATGTTTAAGCAGTGTTAGACCAGAGAACAACGCTTAAACGCGAATAGCACAAAAGCAATGCAAACATCAAAGCATTAATAAGCTCTGGTTGAGCAATCATATCTATGGGACCCGTTTGGAATATCTTAACAGTTGTTTTATTATCATAAAGGGAAAATAATATTTGTATTTATTCATCATTATGTTACTGGCAACTAGGTCACACCCATAGATGTCCTGCAATGGGCATTTAAGATATCTAAGGTACCCTATTGTTCTCTGGTCTAACACTGGTGGTGAGACAAGGCCTTAACAGATGCTTCTCTGGTGTAGGCCAATTTGTTTCAAGGACAACGCAAACATTATTAGGGAAGTACTTTTGTTTGCATGCTTTATCACAAGCGTGATGATGTATGGTTAATGCAGACTTGATGATGCCTTGCAGTAGGTGTGTCTATTTTGGTGTATGAGTATCTTACCACCTGTATTATTGCCAGAAAGGGTTACAGCAGCCTATTCCTATTTTCCCTCATGAAGACGATGATTCAATCGAAGCTTGCTTGGGGTAACTCATCACTTGCAAGGGTTGCCTCAATCAGAGCTCGTTGAAGGTCCTCTCAGGTATGGGAAAAGACTGCTCTCTCGCTCCACTCCGCTGTCTCGCCCCACTCCGCTCTCTCATCGGACTCTGCTCTCTCGCCCCACTCCGCTGTCTCCCCCCAAAGTCTACGAGGCGCGTGGCGTTGAGGCTCACATCTCCAGCTTACTCTGCACCTCCCACAGAGCCCGGGCGCTGGCGCACAGCTGGGCCGTCTCGGGTGGTGTGAGCGGCTGGTTCAGGATCCCGCAGACGCCCGTGGAGCCCAGCACACATGGCAGGGAGAGGAACACCTCTTCCGTGATGCCATGCTTGCCCTGTACACAGAGACAAAGACCCAATCCCACCCACCCCCCGTATAGCCTTAACAGAATGTTTTTGGCAAGTACTGTTAGCGAGTAGCAGCAATTACGATGGCCAGAATGGCACATGAGGAGGTGGGTGGCCAGCACCACGTCTGGCCGCCTTTGTCTCCCCAGGGGCGATGTTGACACACCGCACCAGGTATTCATTTGAGGCTGAGTCTACCCAGGACTGGTTTAGATCATTAATCGATACTGGTGTTGGTGACCGTGCCAGAATCAAAATTGGGTCCTCTGAGTTCGTAGCGCAATGCGCTAACCGCTACACTACACTTACACACACATAGCCAGGGGTGGAAATATGTCAGAATGACCCAAAATGGCATAGTGGAAGTGAAAATTTCAGTCTGACTTGATTTCGGAAGGAACCAGGGACTGCGGGTAGACTTTATACATGCATCAATTTAATACATAGGCTTTTGCGACCAATATTAATAGTGCATTATCAAGTAATACACAGAATATGAATAAGTAATAGACTTTTTGGTTATTTCGGTAGTCACGTAGAAAGAAAATAAATTAAATAATAGAATACGACGTTTCGTTTGCAACACAAGCAATCATCATCAGGTACGAATGAATGAGAAAAAAAACCTAGTAAACTTAGAAATATAATGCAAAACAATACAGAGAGTCGGCTAACAGAACAGTCACCACCCTACCTGGTTGATTACGTTCTTCCAAAGAGTGCTAAATTTGAGAGAGAGACAAAACACAGACACGGAGACACAGACAGACACATAAGCAGAGAGAGAGACAACACAGAGAGAAACACACACATAGGCACACAGAGAAACAACGACTCTGTGTCGAGGCCTTAAATAGAGAGAGAGGAGGGCAGAGAGAGAGGGGGCGGGGGTAGATAAATTAGCATATCAATGAGAGATTTGGAGCATTCGTGACTACAGGAAATACTAGAGAGACGACACAGAGAGAGAAAATAAACTTTATAAAACAATCTTAGTAAAATTTGGGAAAGTAATGCAGTGCAACACACAATTACGCATAGCCTGGTTGATTACGTTCTTCCAAAGATTGCTAAATTAGAAATTAAGTGTGAAATTTGAGAGAGAGAGAGACAAGACACGGAGACACAAAGACAGACACACAAGCTGAGAGAGACAACACAGAGACACACAGAGAGAAACCTAACTTAAATCCTCACTGTAGAGGTGGTTTAAACTTGAATTGAGCTTTCGTGACTGCAGGAATTACTTTTTGGTTTTTTCGGTAATGTCACGTGGTGTTCGCCAACAAGTGCCTGGTGGCTGGGTGACCCAAGTAACCCGGTCGGGCCCAGCCCGAAATGGCTATGTGGTGCCGTTCTGTGGCGCCGCCATCCGCAGGACTAGGGTGATGCACGGGTGTGATGCCAGTATGCCAGGGAGAGGGATGATCTCAGAAGGAATGGACTTTGGCGAAAGACACTCGCTATTGGGACATGGAATGTCAGATCACTGGGAGGGAAGGAGCCAGAGCTGGTGAATGAGAAGGAAAGGTACTGACTAGATATAGTCGGTCTCACCTCCACACACAGCATTGGCACTGGAACCAAACTTCTCGATCAGGAGTTTTCTCCTATTCCGGAGTACCCCCTGGTTGGAGGCCCCAGGCAGGTGTGGGGATACTCACAACCACCGCGGCTGGGTGCTATTCAATTGGAGTTTGTCTCAGTGGATGAGAGGGTCGCCTCAAGAAGACTTCGGGTCTCAGAAAGGAAAACTCTTGACTGTTGTCTGTACTTATGCACGAAACAGCAGTTCAGAGTATTCAGCCTTCTTGGAGACAGTGGGTGCAGTACTCGACAGAGTGCCACTTACCAACTCCATAGTCTTACTGGGTGACTTCAAAGCTCACATGGGAAATGATGGAGATACCTGGAGAGGCGTGATTGGGGGAAGAAATGCCCCCCCTGATCTGAACCCGAACGGTAAGATGTCATGTAAATTATGAGCTACTCACGAAATGTCAATAACAAACCCCATGTTTGAACATGAGGATGCTCATAAGTGTACTTGGTATCAGACCAACTTGGGACGAAGGTAAATGATTAACCTTATAGTTGTATCATTGGACTTAAGGCCATATGTTCCTGACGCTTGGTTAAAGAGAGGGGCAGAGCTATCAACTGATCACCACCTGGTGGTAAGTTGGATCCAACGCTTGGGTCACCGACTAGATAGACGTGGAAGGCCCAGACGAATAGTGCGGGTTTTCTGGGAACGTCTTGCAGAAGACCCAGTGCAGAAAGATTTCAACTTACACCTCAGGGAAAACTTCTCCTGCACTCCACCAGAGGTCGTGGATATTGAGCCCGAGTAGACGATGTTCAGGACTTCGATTGTGTATGCAGCTGCAAAAAGCTGTGGCCTGAAGGCAGTTGGTGCCTGTCATGGTGGCAACCCTCGGTCCCGCTGTTGGACACCAGTTGTAAGGGAACCTGTCGAGCTGAAGAAGAAGGCATTCCGAGCTATGCTCGGAAAAAGGTCTCCCGACTCGATTGAGAGGTATCGGCTTGCCAAGAGAGTGGCAGCTGCAGCAGTCACTGAAGTGAAAGCCCAAGCATGGGAGGAGTTTGGAGAGACCATGGAGAGGGACTACCAGGCAGTCTCAACGATGTTCTAGCAAACCATTTGACGCCTTAAGAGGGGTCAATGGGACATGGCCCAGGCTGTTTTCAGAAAGGGTGGCGTGACATTGAGCTCAACTAAGGAGATAGTCGAGAGATGGAAGGAACACTTTGAGCTCCTCAACCCAGTAGACATGCCCTCCTCTCAGGGCGCAGCCCTGGAAACAGCTTGGGGAGTCGGATCCATCCCGGCTGCTGAAGTCGCTGTGGCGGTCGAGGGCCTTCATAACAGCAAAGCTGCTCGGGTGGACGAGATTTGCCCAGAGTTTTTTTTAAGTGCTGGACAGTGTAGGAGTGTTATGGTTAACATGGCTCTTCAATGTTGCATGGAAGATGGGTACAGTTCCTCTGGATTGGCAAACTGGGGTCGTGGTTCCCATTTTTTTTTATAAGGGGACAAGAGGGTGTGCTCCAACTACAGAGGAATCACACTCATCAGCGTCCCAGGTAAAGCTTATGCCAGAGTGCTGGAGAGGAGGCTCTGCCCGGTGGTCGAGCCTCAGATTCAGACGGAACAATGTAAAATCCATCATGGTCATGGAACAATGGACCAGTTGTTTTCCCTCTCACAGATATTTGAGGGGTCATGGGAGTATGCTTCTCACACAATGTCTTGTGGGAGGTGCTGCGGGAGTATGATGTACCGGTGCCACTTTTGTGTGCTTTTCAGTCCCTCTATTCCCAGAGTGAGAGCTGTGTCTGAATTCTTTGTGTTAAATCAAAGTCGTTCACTGTGGGTGTTAGACTCCGCCAGGGTGCGCTTGTCTCCACTCCTGTTTGTGATTTTCATGGACAGGATATCAAGGCACAGTCGAGGTATGGAGAGCATCCAGTACAGGGGCATGGAGGTGGCATGGTTGCTTTTTGCAGATTACTTTGTCCTCTTTGCCTTGTAAGTCTGTGATCTCCAGCAAGCACTTGAACGGTGTGATGCCGAGTATGAAGCGGGTGGAATGAGGATCAGCACCTCTAAATCTAAGGTCATGGTTCACTCTCGGGAGACGGTGGATTGTTCTTTCCAGGTGAGGGAAGAACAATTGCCCTTTGTGGAGGAGTTTAAGCACCTCGGGGTCTCTTTCACGAGTGATGGTAAGTGGGAGCAGGAGATCGGCCGGCGGATCAGTGCAGCATCCACAATGTTGCACGCACTACCTTTCCATGGTAGTGAAGCGGGAGCTGAGTTTTTGAACAAAGCTCTCGATTTACAGGTCGATCTAAATTCCCACCCTCACCCATGATCATGAGCTTTGGGTAATGACAACAGGATAAGATTGCGGGTACAAGAGACCAAAATGAGGTTTCTCCGCAGGGTTGCCGGGCTCACTCTCGGTAATCGGGTGAGGAGTTCGATAATCCAGGAGAGACCTACGAGTTGAGCCACTGCTCCTTCAGATTGAGAGGAGCCAGTTGAGGTGGTTCAGGCACCTGGTATGAAGGATGCCCCCCGATAGACTCCCCCTGGAACTCTACCAGGCACATCCCACTGGGCGAGGACTCCAGTGCCGGCCCAGGACACACTGGCAAGACTATGTCGCTCAGCTGGCCTGTGAACGCCTGAGAATTCCCCAGGAAGAGCTTGAGTCTGTCGCCAGGGAAAGGGAGGTCTGGACAGCCCTACTCAACATGCTGCCGCAGCGACCCTCACTAGGACAAGTGGACTGAAAAACGAACGAATGAACGAAGAAGGTGCAAAAAAAGCTATTTTAAATAATGATTATAGTGATTATCCGGGTTTTTTTTTTAAATGTGGCGCCCCCTTCCCCCTGAAGCCACCAGATACTTGTTATTTTAAACGAGCTAGCTGAAACAGATGAAACACATGAATGTATTTGTTAATCGGGACTCAGTGCTGATGAGTACTGGTTGGGATGAAATCGGTCTAGAGTGGTCTGTTTCTCTGTGGCTGTTTCTGCCATTGGTCAATCGCGTTTGTTCAAATTGTATTGTGGCGATGACTGAACACAAGACGGCCACAGTGTAGTGCTTCAGGAACCGCTGATAATGTATGCATAATATGCAATGGCTTAGTAGCTTTTGTGTGGATGTGTTACATTACAGTGGCCTCTCGGTTAGTGATATTAATTGGTTCCACAAAAACCATATTCAATCTAAATGATCACTAATCGAATATAGGAAATGCATGTTTTAAAGGGACTTAATTTATTCCAAGATGATTGGAAGTTGGTCTTTTTCACCCTAAAACATTTATCTATATATTTAAAGTCAAAATTTGTGTGGGTTTGTGTGTGGTCGCGCGCTTGGCTCTCCAACGTGAAAAAAAATAGCCAGGTACCACGCTGTAAGCCCCGCGGTGAGCAAGCGCTATTCCTTTTTCACATCCGTCAACTTAAGATTAGTTTAATTAGCGATTTAGTGCGCTTTCTTTTATTTATTTATGACACAAGCACGACCACCAACTCACGCGCCTTTGGTGGGGGGACAGCCCATGCCAAGTCGAACGCCTTCAGTGGGAGTGAGGGGGGCATTTTCTTTCGTGTAAAAAATGCTATAAAAATACACTAAACGCTGACGTTTATTATTCACTGTGTGACGTCCTCCCCACCCCGATGTGTGCAGTTATTACTACTATACAGTCGCTAGATGCTACCACTATAGGCCGTAGATATTACTGCAGAGCGGCCTGGGACATCGTTGCAGGTGTGGGGGGGTCAGGGGTAGCAGCCCAGCCCGTGCCTGCCAAGGTGCCAACTCGACCGGCTGGGCAATCTAGGCGTCGGCCGGAGGCTCTGTACGGGACTAGGCCTCACCATGCCACTCTGTCAGGTGGGTACTTTGTGCTATAGAGTCGATAAATACTGCTATTGAGTCAGCATGTACTCCTGTAATGATAGCAGGTACCACCACAGTCGGTATGCACTGCTGTAGTGATAGCAGGTACCACCGCACGGGACTAGGCCTCACCACGCCACTCTGTCCGGTGAGTACTTTGTGCTATAGAGTCGATCAATACTGCTATAGAGTCTGCATGTACTACTGTAGTGATAGCAGGTACCACCACAGTCAGTATGCACTGCTGTTAGATTTTAAGAGTAGGTTTGAAGTATACATTTGACCCGGGAAACGTCGGGTACTTCCCACTAGTAGTTTATAATATTTAAACATAATCATAAAAAAAATAAACATTATAAGAATATTTTAAAGCATTAATATTATTAATGAAAAAAAACCTGGATAAGAAATAAATAGACCATAAAAAGGTGCATAAATAGAATATAAAATATTAATTCTTACCTGAGGCTAAGAAAATCGATGGCTTAAACAAGCCAGTTGCTCTCAAAGCGCTCATAAAAGGGCGCGTCACTGATTGGCTGAGGTCTACCGAGTCATGCACTTTTGGAGTGCGCCAATTTGCCGAAATTGGCGGATCCGTGTGATATCGTAAAAATATCATTAATTGGAAATGTATCGTTAATAGTAATAATGGGGGACCCTATGGGATGTTAATTGTTCATCGAAAAACTGTTAATCGATGGAATTGTAAAACCGAAAGACCACACAGTATGGCGCTCGCTAGACTTCGCTCACGAAGGAAATAATTGGGAGGTGTGCGTGCACCCTTTCCACAAATGGAAGTTCATCAAAAAGAATCGGCGAAACTGCGACTGTGGTGAAGTCCAAACCATAGAACAAAGGGTCACACGACGAGTATGCTATTCATGCACCAGCGTCAACTGCGGTGGCTAGGAGATGTAAATTACCTCGCCTGGTAAATAGAAATATCCTGGGTTCGATCCCGACCCTGACGCCTGCTGTAAATTTGGAGTTTGCGGTGTGTGTCTCTCTCTCTCTCTCCTCGTAATCGCATGGATTTTTCTCCGGGCCCTGCGGTTTTTTCCTCCACAATTAGAATCAATGTCACGTGTTTAGAGTGTTTGGCTGCCATAAATTTCCACGTGATAAGCCACTTCATTGAGCCATTCTTTTTGATAGCCAGGTCGCTTCTGAAAAATGAGCTACATAGCTCAGTGCGGCTTATCTGGTAAAATACAAATTAGTTTAATTTCTTTTGTATCGTTTATATGCCTATTCTCTCCTGTTTCTGCTGGTTTTGTAATGGGCTCAATAAACTTAACAAAAAACTCTTGAATTTCCGTCGTCTTTAAGCAATAGACTAATGAAGCAATTTATATATTTGCAATGTATAATTATGCTCACCATGCGATCACCGTATGTGCAAGAATCAATTTCTTATGGCTAATCTACTTTGATAGTACGACCCCTGCCGCCATATAGCGATCAATCTGTCTCCATTCTCTAAGTGAACATTTCGCTCGTTTATAGGAACATATGGGTCCAAATTCAAATTGCTTGTTACAGCAAAACGGAAGAACACTCGTTTAATGAGACATAGCCTCTATGTTGATCGCAGTGGGCGTACCCACACTTCCATCCCACCACATGCGTCCTGTCCGATCATAGACTGTCACCATAGATATAGCAATAGGTTTTACCCTTTTAACTGGCACAAAAACGTACGCCAAAGGCCTACGCCTTTTGGCGTCTTCTGGTCTAACACCAGTGGAGACTAGGCTCTAAGAAAAGCCGTCTCGGGTGTGGACCAATCAAATTCAAGGACAATGCATATTATTATCAGAGTTGTCTCTTTTGTTTGCATTTTGACTGCTTGTGTTGTGGTTATTGCAAACATGATACCTTGAATAAAGGTGTCATTTTTTGTGCCAGTTAAAAGGGTAAAACCTATTACTATATATTGTTACTGGTAAGGAGGTCTCATAATGCCACCATAGACTTTAGCACCAAACTCATGCCGCTGGGTAAACAGATGGTGGGTGCAGTTTTAAGAATCCTCCTCCATTGTTTCAACTATTACAACACAGCATTACCAGTCTTCAACTACTCACTTGAAGACATGAATGTGTTACGTCTACTGGTTAGTAATATAACACTAAAATACAAGATTTTCACAACCAGAGCGTGAACCTGGTGACCCTAGTTCGATTCCCGGCCAGGGTCACCAACATTAGTCGCATGGTTGAAGTATGGTTAACTCCCATGACCTAGAGCACTTGAAAGCCGTCATCAAGTAGTGGATTTATGAAGAACTGAAGGTCGTGATGATGATGAGGATCAAACGTGAAGCAACACACCTGCACCAGAGTGGAGACAGGGTTGACGGTGCGGAGATTTTTGAGAATGCAGTGTGTCAGGCTTGCCACGCTCAGGCCGATAGCCCAGGACGTGTACCCCTTGAGACGGATAACTTCATAGGCACTGCAACAAAAACGCACAGACTCTTCTTTAAACTTCAACCTCACGTAGTCTACTTATGAACGTGTGGTGCAAACAAAAATGACTAATATACAGGAAACTCTTGATTACCCACGCTAATGATGGGAGGACGACCGCTGACAATTCAAAATTGCGGATAATCCAAAAAATATATTTTCTGGATCTCTATGCCAAAAATCATTAACATAGGTATAAATAATGTTTAAGTTAATACAATTTACTTTGTTAATGAACAAATACTAACGATCGGCCAATTGATGATGTGAGTGTTCAGTGATACAACTTTCCTGCTCCTACCCAGCAGAAGACTCGGCCCACAAGTTGGACAGCAGAGCCACGCCAATCAAGATCAATCAAACTCCACCCACTGTTGTAAAGATGTACAACTACTCTACTGTAGAGGCGATCACATGGATTTCAGATTAACCAGAGCAACATATTTTTTCGGTTTAAGCACGTGACTTGTAATACAAATTTCCAAGAATAACAATGTACAAATGTTTTGAGATTATTACATTGGGCTTCAGGGAAAAAATCCATGAGTTATTAATTTATGTGAAAACATCAGATGCGCCGTTAATCCGCAAACCAGAAAAACCGTACATGGATAATCAAGAGTCTACTGTACTTATGCTCTTATCTTTCCGAAACTCTGCACTGTCGGTTTTTGTGTTTGTTGTTGTAACTTTCTGACCCCCATGGGCACTCTTGACTATATTTGAGAAAAGAGCATCATAGCTTGCATCGGATTCCTCCTCCTGCAGTATAAACTAAATATTCTGATTCTGACTCTGATGAAAGGCATTGCCACTATTTAACTATGTTTTATTTCACCAGGTAAGGCTCCACTGAGCTACGTATCTTTTTTTTCAGAAGCAACCTGGCTATTAGCTCAGCAAAGTGGCTTATCAAGTGGAACTTGCGTGATGATGATTCTAAATGTGGGGGAAAAACTATAGGAATCCGGAGAAAAATCCACGCGACCACAGGCAAAGAGACGCAGACTCCAAATATACAGTAGGCGTCAGGGTCGGGATCGAACTCCATGACCTCCTGTGTACTCGGCGAGGTAGTTATCATCTCATAGCCACTGTGGCGCTCCATCGTAATGCCTGCACACACCTCTCGATGACCTCTTTGTGAATGCTTGTCCAGATCCCCCCCTCCGCTCCGCGCTGCTCTGACTCCAACGCCTGCTGCAGCTTCACTCCGGCCACATTGGCTGCACTCCACACTGCCACTGGGGGAGGGGATGCAGGAGAGAGCGTATGGGCATAGCAAACTCTAAATTATATAATAGTTAAATTTATATTATATATTTATTTATAGGAATACATTAACCCCCCCGCACCCCCTCTGGTATTCGCAGGATGCCACGGTGGAGGGATGTTAACTCCCTCGCCTGGTATACAGGAGGTCATGGGTATGATTCTAACACTGACACCTGCTGCATATTTGGAGTTTGCATGCCTCTCTCCCTGTGGTCGTGTGGATTTTGTCTACGGGTCTTCTGGTTTTTCCCTCCACATTGAGAATCAATATTATGCGTGAAGCGTATTTGGCTGCTGCAATAAATGTCCACATGACAAGCTACTCCGTTGAGCTATAATTTGGGATATCCAGGTCGCTTCTGAAAAAAAAGCTACATAGCTCAAGTAAGCCTTACCTGGTAAAAAATTTAAAATAATTAGTTTTTTTTTATTGTCTCACAAGTGACGACATCACATTTACCCCCACCTTTCTTTGAGACTGAAACAGGAGGAGGAATTTTCCACAATTCTGGCTGTCGCCTGATGATGCTGAGTTGAAAAAGCCGGCGAAACGTCACGGTACACAAATTGTAAATGCTTTAGTGGGTTTACTCTCCAACACACCGGTTAATGGTGAACTAGTAACGAATTGGCACATTTTGTTGATATGACAAACCTTACTGATTGGCTCTATGGGGTTGTTGCGGGTTTAGCGATACATTTATATTAACGTGATCAAATCCAAAAACCTCTATTATGGAGAATATAGATCTTGAAAGCCTACATGTTAAAGTGTCTAAACTAAACAATTTTTATATGTTTCACCAGGCAAGCTACATAGCTCTTTTATAGAAGTGACCTGGCCATCACAAATGATAGCCCAATGAAGTGGCCGGTCATTAGGTGGAAATAGTATAGCACCCAAACACTCTGAACGAATGATGTTGAGTCTAAATGAGGGAAAAAACGGAGGACCTGGAGAAAAATCCACGCGACCATGGGGAGAGAGACAGGCAATATCCAAATATACAACAAGCATCATGGTCAGGATCGAACCCAGGCTCCTCCTGCATACCAGGCGAGGTAGTTAACATATCCTAGCCACTGTGGCCCTCCAATGGAGGGAGGCATACAAACCCGGTCGTGCTTATAATAGGGGTTTTCCCCTTTTTTCTGGCAACAAAACTGAAACCTTTTTACAAGGATTCATGTCTGCATTAACCACAATATCTGCAGTCAAAATGCAAAAAAAAAACATACTATGATAATATATGCATTGTTCTTGAAACTGATTGGTCCACACCAAGGGACGTCTTTCTTTAAAGAAAACATACTATGATAATATATGCATTGTCCTTGAAACTGATTGGTCCACACCAAGGGACGGCTTTCTTTAAAGAAAGGACAATGCATATATTATCATAGTATGTTTTTTTTTGCATTTTGACTGCAGGTATTGTGGTTAATGCAGACATGAATCCTTGTAAAAAGGTTTCAGCTTTGTTGCCAGAAAAAAGGGGAAAAACCCTATTATTACATTTTGGTACTGGCAAAGGAGGTCTAATGATACTCTTTGGTTCTATTCGGTAATGTCACGTAGGTAAAAAATAAAACAACAAAAATCACGACGTTTCAGCCACAACACAAGCGGCCTTTATCAGGTGAAGGGACCAGGCTATCTCGAGGACAGCGCTGGAGTGAAACACAGCCACGCTCAGACCGCGACCTTAAAGCTGTGTGCGAGGAAACAAGGTGCCTTGACAAAGGAATTAGCATATAAATTAGAATATGATTGGCCGACTTAGCATGACGAACGGTGCAGAGGCGGTATACATGCGGGTGCACATGCCGGTTGGCGCGGGGGGGGGGGGAGCTTACCCATTGATGCTGTGAAAAGGGAATCCTTAAGAGCTGCGAAAGTTTGGGGTACCACTACTTGAAAAAATATACTGTACCATTGAAAATTAGTTTAATGTTTGGTTCGATTTAGAACATCTTTCCAATGGTTGCTTAATTTGAAACTATCTTCTCAGTTTAAATTGTGTCTGTTTGCAGATCTGAATTGCCTCGTGAACAAATCTCTGATAAAAACCCGTGGAAGGTCTAATGATGTAGATGCTCACTCCAGTTGTGCTTGTTAAACACTCAATTCTGATCGTGAAATGGACTTCGACGTGACTGTGAATGCCTGCAAGCGGCTGGAGAGAGAGAAGAGTCAGAGATTCCATCAGCCGACAATCCGACCAAGTCTAAGTTCCCAGTCTGACCAGCGACTGGAACCTTTTGTGGACGTCAGCTTTAGTTATTTGGACAATTGACCAAGCAGAACGCATCCCTCCCCCATGACAGGCGATTAGCCGATGGTGTGACGTTGATTACTACCGCTGGAGTCCCCGTGCTCCCCGATGATATATCCGTGAATGCTGGAAGGGCTGATTCCCAGCCTCTCGCCCATGAGGAATCGCAGACGCGCTGAGTCCAGGTTGGTGCCGCTGCCGATTACGCGATGCACGGGGAATCCGCTCAGCTTCCAAGCCACGAATGTCAGAATGTCCACTGCACGCCAAGACCAACATTCGCAAAAGGTTAGACCGTGTAAATATACAGTGAGGGAAAAAAGTATTTGATCCCCTGCTGATTTTGTACGTTTGCCCACTGACAAAATTATCAGTTTATAATTTTAATGGTAGGTTTATTTGAACAGTGAGAGACAGAATAACAACAACAAAAATAAAAAAATGCATGTCAAAAATGTTATAAAATTGATTTGCATTTTAATGAGGGAAATAAGTATTTGACCCCCTCTCAATCAGAAAGATTTCTGGCTCCCAGGTGTCTTTTATACAGGTAACGAGCTGATATTAGAAGCACACTCTTAAAGGGAGTGCTCCTAATCTCAGCTTGTTACCTGTATAAAAGACACCTGTCCACAGAAGCAATCAATCAATCAGATTCCAAACTCTCCACCGATGGCCAAGACCAAAGAGCTCTCCAAGGATGTCAGGGACAAGATTGTAGACCTACACAAGGCTGGAATGGGTTACAAGACCATTATTAAGCAGCTTGGTGAGAAGGTGACAACAGTTGGTGCGATTGTTCGCAAATGGAAGAAACACAAAAGAACTGTCAATCTCCCTCGGCCTGGGGCTCGATGCAAGATCTCACCTCATGGAGTTGCAATGATCATGAGAACGGTGAGGAATCAGCCCAGAACTACACGGGAGGATCTTGTCAATGATCTCAAGGCAGCTGGGATCATATTCACCAAGAAAACAATTGGTAACATACTACGCCATGAAGGACTGACATCCTACAGCGCCCGCAAGGTCCCCCTGCTCAAGAAAGCACATATACATGCCCGTCTGAAGTTTGCCAATGAACATCTGAATGATTCAGAGGAGAACTGGGTGAAAGTGTTGTGGTCAGATGAGACAAAATGGAGCTCTTTGGCATCAACTCAACTCGCTGTGTTTGGAGGAGGAGGAATACTGCCTATACTGCCCCAAGAACACCATCCCCACCGTCAAACATGGAGGTGGAAACATTATGCTTTGGGGGTGTTTTTCTGCTAAGGGGACAGGACAACTTCACCGCATCAAAGGGACGATGGACGGGGCCATGTACCGTCAAAATCTTGGGTGACAATCTCCTTCCCTCAGCCAGGGCATTGAAAATGGGTCGTGGATGGGTATTCCAGCATGCCAATGACCCAAAACACACGGCCAAGGCAACAAAGGAGTGGCTCAAGAAGAAGCACATGAAGGTCCTGGAGTGGCCTAGCCAGTCTCCAGACCTTAATCCCATAAAACATCTGTGGAGGGAGCTGAAGGTTCGAGTTGCCAGCCTCGAAACCTTAATGACTTGGAGAAGATCTGCAAAGAGAGTGGGACAAAATCCCTCCTGAGATGTGTGCAAACCTGGTGGCCAACTACAAGAAACGTCTGACCTCTGTGATTGCCAACAAGGGTTTTGCCATCAAGTACTAAGTCATGTTTTGCAGAGGGGTCAAATACTTATTTCCCTCATTAAAATGCAAATCAATTTATAACATTTGACATGCGTTTTTCTGGATTTTGTTGTTGATATTCTGTCTCTCACTGTTCAAATAAACCTACCATTAAAATGATAGACTGATCATTTCTTTGTCAGTGGGCAAACGTACAAAATCAGCAGGGGCTCAAATACTTTTTTCCCTCACTGTATGCTTCGTTAAACCTGCCACCACCACCCGACACAGCCAATCAGTAAGGTTTGTCACGTGAACAAGACGTGCCAATTAGTTAATAGCTAAGCACTAACTGGTTGTGTGTTGGAGAGTAAATCCACTAGAACATTTAAAATCCGAGTACCATGACGTTTCTCCGGTAATTACAACTCGGCCTCATCTGGCAAATTGTGCTGGAATTTATATTTACGTGATCAAACCCAAAAGGTTACTTTTACCATGAAAAAATTATCGTGACAGCTTACATGGTGAAACATTGTGTATACAACACTATTTTGAAATGAAACATCGACCGATCGATTGATTGATTAGTTGTTGATGATTACAATGACGACGACTCTCACGTTGGGGAGTGAGAATCTACGGTGCCGGTCAGACCTGGGTTTGACACGATGAGCAGCACAGCGTCAGGGCTGTACTTGGCCAAGTTGGGGATAATCTTCCGGAAGACAGCAACGTTTCTCTCCACGAGGGCAAGGCGACTCTCCCCCTCCTTCTGTCGCACGCCGGCCGTCACCACGCAGAGCTTGGAGCCGGCTGTCACCGCGTAGTCTACAAGCACAGAGTCGTTGACATGTGCACGCGTCGGTGCCAGGGAAGGGTTAAAAACCTGTTCTCATTTTCCATACTTTTGAAACTGGAAAAAAGATATCCCAAAGATATAACCGCTCAACCCTAGCTATAAATGCTCTGATACATGGATTTTATTTGTACTGTTCGACTTTGGCGTTGTCTGGCCTGACGCAAGTGTTGAGACAAGGCCATAAAGAAGGCTGTCTCTGGTGTAGGATAATCAATTTCAAAGACAATGCATATATTATTATCGGAGCATGTTTGTTTGCATGTTCACCACAAGTACGTGTGGTTAATGCAGACTTTATTCCTTGTAAAAGGTATCTATTTAGTGCTGGGACATTTTAACACAACTCCCGTTTTATTGCCAAAAAGGGTAATACCTATTCTTATTTTCACGCGGTGTTCATGTTCCAATGCAGCAGAGGTGGCTGCGTGGCTCAGAGGCGTCTGATCATCTGGGCTAACATTGCTGAGATCCTGGACTGGGAATCCCAGCAGTTGTCTCTTCCAATAGAGGCATCAGTCAACCGATCATATTGGTCTCTCACCACTTGCTATTAAGACAATTAGTAACCAATCACATTGGTGTACCACACTGCCTGTAGAGACGTCAGTCGCCAATCACATTGGTGTACCACACTGCCTGTAGAGACATCAGTAACCAATACAATTAGTGTACCACACTGCCTGTAGAGACATCAGTAGCCAATCACATTGGTATGCCACACAGTCGTAGTTCTAAGGTTCCGAGACTATACCTGATATACATGCTGTGTATGCATTTATAGGTACAGTCAGAATAAAAATATGTATTCATACTGGAGGAATCCGATGAGCTATAAAGCTCTTTTTCACAGATGTCCAGGTGGGGTGGGTCAGAACCTTACATCAACAAACAATACAAAAACACGATAGCAGTAGCAAAGTATAGGAAAGGTAAACAAATCACTTTAAAAATGCCAATTAAACAAAAAATTTTTTTATCTTACCAGGAAAGGCCAACTGAGGTACGCACTTATTTTTCCGAAGCGACATGGCCACAAATGATAGCTCAACAAAGTTGCTTATCATCACGTGGAAATTTATGGCGCCAGGTAAATCTAAATAATCTCAATGCATGTTTTTAAATGTGGAGGAAAAAACTGGTGGAACCGGAGAAAAACGTCCACGTGACCACGGGGAGAGAGAGACACGCAAACTCCAAATATACAGCAGGCAGTGTAAGGGTCGGGATCGGACCCCCGACCCCCTGCATACCAGGCGAGGGAGACAACATCTCTCGATTATCCAGAGTGATCAGGGATAGGTTGGCAGCTCTGATTAAAACAAAACCATGGATAAATTAGGGAATAACACATTTTCAGCATATATGTATATTTCACCTACGCACAATGGTGGTGAACATGATTGTGGTCATGTGGGTATTGAGTCGCCAGACCTTCGACCAGTAAGGAACAGCTAATCATGAAACCAGCCTCCACAAAAAAAATGTACATTAGATTTATGTTTCCAATTGCATTTGAATTGCAAACCCAAAACCTCTGTCCACAGAATTTTTTTTTAGCAAAATAATACTGCTTGGTGATGATAATCATGGCTTAATTTCTCACCAGAGATTGTCCAGTACGCTACTAGGCTGAGTTGGAATAGGGATTATCAGTACAAGGAACTACCACTAGACTACAAGGTTGTGTCTATGCATCATAAACCGATTTTATTTTACCCTATATCCTTGTAATACTGTGAACAGGTTTATATTTTAAAAAACACAGTTGGGCGCTGCGGTGGCAAGGGAAATGTTGACTGTTTCACCAGAAGGTCTTGGGTTCGATCCAGACCCTGGCGCCTGCCGTAAATTTGGAATTTGCGTATCCCTCTCCCTGTGATCATATGGATTTTTCTCCGGATCCTTCAGTTTTCCCCTCCACATTTATAATAAACATCAGGGATTTAGAGCATTCGGCTACTTCTAGACATTTCTACAGGATAATGATAAGCCACTTCGTTGGGCTATCATTTGTGATGGCCAGGTCACTTCTGAAAAAGAGCTACATAGCTTAATGGGCCTTAACTGGTAACATAAAAAACATTGTTGAAAGTTTTAGTTCATAGGGTGAATGATGTATACCGAAATAATTCCCGGAGCAGTGTTGCAGAATTGTCGATGCTATTTTGGCTGCTATCTATTTCGTGCCGTACCGGTGTCGGCCACAATCTTGGCTGTCTTGAGGAACAGTGAGCCGTGCTGCAGGTCCATGGCTTCCCCACGCAGCTTGTCTTCCATCACGTCCACAAGGGCTACCTCGTCCGCGTTGTTCTGAGTGGGATTCCATGTTCACGTAGAGAACAACAAACTGTGTGGGGGCAACGTTCATGAAGGACAGCACCTGTGGCACACGAGGGGGTGGGGCGCCAGCCACCACGCCTGGCCGCCTTTGTCTCTCTGAGTGGTCGATGTTCACTACACACCGCACAAGGTACTCATTTGAGGCTGAGTCGACCTCGGGGAGGCCAAAGACCGGTTCAGATAATCGTCACCGGTGTTGGCCATGAGCGGGAATCGAACTCGGGTCTCTGCTGTGGCTCGTAGCGCAGCGCATTAACTGCTGCGCCACCAGTCTCCACGCACAGACACACATGCACACGCACTCACATACACTCACAAAGACAAAGATCCCCCGTGTCGCTTTCACAGACTGTCGTGACAAGTGCTGGTAGCGAATTTTAACACTTATGAATGCCGGCACCTGTGGCACACGAGGGGGTGAGTGGCCAGAACCACGCCTGGCCCCCTTTGCATCCCCAGCGGCGTTCTTTACTACACACTGCACCAAGTGCTCATTTAAGTCTGAGTAGATCTAGAGGAAGCCCGGGAACGGTTCAGACAATCGTCAGTGTCGGTGGTCGTGAGCAGGAATCAAACTCGGTTCGATTCCCACTCGGGTTCGTAGCGCAAAGTGCTAACCGCTGCGCCACCTCTCCCCATAGCAAACCGCTGTCTCAATACGCACAAAGACAATAGATACGAAACTAAAACTGTTCATAAGAAAACCATGAGAAGGCCTTGACAGGACTCATGTCACTAGCAGGGACGACGATGATGGCTGGTGGTTCAGACCAAAGCTGAAGAGTGGTGGTGCTGGTGATGGATGCCTTGTGGGAACATCACGACAGCTGTCAGTCTCTCTCTCGTGATTACAGGAGATCATCGATTATCCGGCGGGTCTGGATTATGGAAAATGCCGGGGAATCACTACTAATCATTGTTTAAAATCGCTTATTTTTGCACGTTCTTTGTATGACGTTATATTTGTAGGTGTGTTTTTTACTGTTTTAAATGTGTTTACTCTGTGGAATTGGCATAAATAACCATACAAATAGACAAAAATAAATATCCTATTGTAAAAAGTTACTGTTTCACTGTGCTTAGCACTCCAATCTGGAAGATTCTTAATGGGAAGATGCATATATGTGCATTATTTTCATTGTTTAAGTTTTATGTAGTATATAATGTACTGTATATCATATTTAACACTGAAATCAAGCGTAGCTACTTTGTCACGCACATGGTGCCGATCGCCGGACTGGTTACAGCCTTTGGAGCGTTTTTTGCCGGTTTCGCCGGATCGGCACCGGGAACATCGGATAATGTTGGAACCAGCCGGATAATAATTGCGCGGTGCCGGATAATCGATTATTCAATTTAAATTGGAAGGCTCCGGCTATCAAATATTTTGTTGTTGTTGCCGATGTATGAAAATATTGGCAAAAAACTAACTCCACCCAAGCGAGTAATGGCCATGACATTTGCATCGCCTTTTGTGCTGCTGTTCACATTTTGGCGTTTCTTCTCCGGTCTAACACCGATGGCTGAGACAAGGTCATGAAGGAGCTCTGGTGTAGAGCAATCAGTTTCAAAGACAATGCCTACATTATTTTCGAAGCATGTTTGTTTGCATGCTTTACCACAAGCGTGATGTCTTGCAATATGTCTATTTGTGTTTGAACATTTTTACACCTCCTGTATTATTATTGTTGCCAGAAGGTGGTAAAGCCATATTATGATTTGTTCGTCACGTTCAAAGGCAGTTTTAAAGACGTAGGCTTTTAGAATTCTGGCAAAATGTTGGATGTAATTAGCCGTGGAAACGTCACGGGAATCAAATTATAAATGTTGTGAATTTGGTATGAAAAATAAGAATAGGTTTTTACCCATTCTGGCGATAAAACAGGAGTTTTGTTAAGATGTTCAAACTCAAAATATATATCTTTGGCAAGGGATCAAGTCTGCATTAACCACACCTACTTGTGGTGAACATGGAAACAAACATGATCTGATAATTATCAGAGCACTTAATAATGTATACAGTACAGCGTCTCTGAAACGGATTGGCCTCCACCAGAGGGAGCCTTCTTTACGGGCCTTGTCTCGCTACCAGGCAAACAGTAAAAATAAAAATGCAAGTATCAGACACTTATAGCTCGGATCGAGCAGTTATATCTATGAAAAAAATAGCTTCATAGCTCATCGGATTCCTCCAGTATAAAGACATTCTGATGTGTGGTTAATGCAGTAACTTGATGCCTTGCAAAAGGATTCTATTTGGTGTTTGAACATCTTAACACCTGTTTAATCGCCAGAAAGGGTAATACCCTATTATTATTTTTCATACATGAGCAGCTATAGCATGGGACCTTTATCTGCCAGTTAAAAAGGTGAATTTACTCTCCAAACACACAAGCGCTTAGTGCTGAACTATTAAAGTAATCGGCACGTTTTGGTTTAAGTGACCAAACTTCACTGATTGGCTGTGTCGGGCAGTGGCGATGGTGGCAGAGTTCAACGACACATTTTACATTTAGGCGATCCAACCCCAAAAACAAAAACTCAAGTGTATTATTGGGTCTTTCGGCAAAGTCACGTAGATAGGTTCAAATAAAATAACAAAAAGCGACTCCTCAAGTATGAATAACGTCGAAAGACGTCTATGCGTGTCTGGGCGAAGGCGCGGTCACACACAAAGACAAAGATCCCACGTATAGCCTGAACAGACTGTTGGGGAAAGTGCTGTTAGCGAGCACCTATGAACGCCGGAACGGCACACGAAGGGGTGGATGGCCACAGCACCACACCCAGCCGCCTTTGTCTCCCCGAGTGACGATGTTGTTTTTTTACACACACCGCACCAGGTACTCATTTGAGGCTGAGTCGACCGAGGGGAGGTCCGGGACAGGTTCAGATAATTAGATAATCGTCCCTGGTCTTGGCCGTGAGCGGGAATCTAACTCAGGTGAGTCGGGTTCGTAGTGCAGCGTGCTAACCGAAATACACCACAGCCTCACACACTCTCACGTGCGCGTGCGTTCACGTGCGCGTGCGTTCACCTGCAGCAGGATGCTGACGGCGCTCGCCATGCCCACCTGGCCCACCCCCACCACGGTCACCTTGGAGCGCGGCCTCCCTGCTGGGCCCGGACACACCTCCTGCAGCAGCTGCCTCCGCATCGACTCCATTACACCCTGCACCACACACACACAGTTTACATTACACCCTGCACCACACACACAGTCTACATTACACCCTGCACCACACACACACAGTCTACATTACACCCTGCACCACACACACAGTCTACATTACACCCTGCACCACACACACACAGTCTCCATTACACCCTGCACCACACACACACAGTCTCCATTACACCCTGCACCACACACACACAGTCTCCATTACACCCTGCACCACACACAGTCTCCATTACACCCTGCACCACACACACACAGTCTTCATTACACCCTGCGCCACACACACAGTCTCCATTAGACCCTGCACCACACACACAGTCTCCATTACACCCTGCACCACACACACACAGTCTCCATTACACCCTGCACCACACGCACACAGTCTACATTACACCCTGCACCACACACATTCCATTACACCCTGCACCACACACACACAGTCTACATTACACCCTGCACCACACACATTCCATTACACCCTGCACCACACACACACAGTCTCCATTACACCCTGCACCACACGCACACAGTCTACATTACACCCTGCACCACACACATTCCATTACACCCTGCACCACACACACACAGTCTACATTACACCCTGCACCACACACATTCCATTACACCCTGCACCACACACACACAGTCTACATTACACCCTGCACCACACAGTCGTTATTTCACTCTGCACCACACGCACAATCTCCATTACACCCTGCACCACACACATTCCATTACACCCTGCACCACACACACACAGTCTACATTACACCCTGCACCACACGCACAATCTCCATTACACCCTGCACCACACACACACATTCCATTACACCCTGCACCACACACATTCCATTACACCCTGCACCACACACAGTCTCCATTAAACCCTGCATCAGATCGCATCTATAAATCCCTCAAACGCATTTTCAACCTCTCACTCACCGAAGATACATTTCCACGTGAGTGGAAATCCACTCTTTTTCGTCCATGATATAAAAATGGTTCCAAAGAAGATCCTAATCATTGTAGGCCAATGTCTGTTCTTTCACCAGCTTTTGGTGGCTGGCTTTTGGGTTGTGCCGTGAAGTGATTTCTCGTTTTTGCTCGCTCTGGTGTATGAGCTGTCTGATATTCTTTGGGTCTTTCGGTATAGTCGCGTAGATAGGTTCAAAGAAAATAACAAAAAAATACAAAAAAACGACGACGTGAGCTCTTTGATGTAAGGTGGAGCAAGCAAGAGACAGGGACAGCGATCATCTCCGTAGCCTTAACATGCTGCTGGGGCAAGTGATGTTAGTAGCGAGAAGCAGCACCGATGAAGACTGGCGCTGGAGCAACACGGCTTGCTTGGGGTCGTCAGCACCACGCCCGGCCGCCTTTGTCTCCCAAAGTGGCGATATTTACTCATCGCATCAGGTACTCACTTGAGGCTGAGTCGACCTAGTGGATGCCCGGCACCGGTTTAGATCATCGATATCACCGGCGGTGGCCGCGAGCGGGAATCGAACTGCCGGGTTGGTTAGCGCTGACCGCTACAACTTATCGCAGCGATTTTCCGTTCCACCCGATCATTTCGCCTGCCCGAGTTGGAAACTCTTACGAACGTGAGACCATGGAGATTAGGAGCTAGATCGTTTTCAAGTGGCACGTGGAAGACCGCAGTTGTATTATATTCATTCGTAGGAAATAAACGATAGTAATGATTATGGGTCTGGATATCCGTTCTTCCAGCCGCCCGTGCTACCGATCCCCTGTCCTCTGTTCAAGTAGAGTGGCTGTGAGATATTAACTGCCTCGCTGGGTACACGGGAGGTTGTGGATTCGATCCCGATCCTGACGCTTGTTGTATGTCTGGAGTTTGCGGTGCACAGTATATACATCTCACTCTCTCTCCCCGGGTCATGCGGGTTTTCCCTCATTTAAAATCAACATCACGAGTTTAGGGCATTTGGCGGCTACTATACATTCCCACGCGGCGATGTTAAGCCACTTTGTTGAACTTGCCATTTGTAATAGGTGCACATAGTTTAGTTTAAATAGTCAAGAAACTGAACTTGACGCAGTGCTGTACGACATAGCGCAGTGCCAAAGACGGGCAGCAGCGAGTACCTCCTCCTGCTGCTGCTCCTCCTGCTGCTGCTCCTCCTGCTGCTGCTCCTCCTGCTGCTGCTCCTCCTGCTGCTGCTCCTCCTGCTGCTGCTCCTCCTGCTGCTGCTCCTCCTCCTCTTGCTCCTCCTGCTGCTGCTGCTCCTGCTGCTGCTCCTCCTCCTGCTCCTCCTGCTGCTGCTCCTCCTGCTGCTGCTCCTCCTGCTGCTGCTCCTCCTCTTGCTCCTCCTGCTGCTGCTCCTCCTGCTGCTCCTCCTGCTGCTGCTCCTCCTGCTGCTCCTGCTGCTCCTCTTGCTGCTGCTCCTCCTCCTGCTGCTCCTCTTGCTGCTGCTCCTCCTCCTGCTGCTCCTCTTGCTGCTGCTCCTCCTCCTGCTGCTCCTCTTGCTGCTGCTCCTCCTCCTCTTGCTCCTGCTCTTCCTGCTGCTCCTCCTGCTCCTCCTCCTGCTACTACTGCTCCTGCTGCTGATGTTGCTGCGAGGCTTCCACTCCTCCACCAGCAGAGTCCTTCTCGGGAAAGGAGACTCACTGACGCGCTCACCTACTCACTCAGCTATTTAACCACCTGATCCACCTATTCAACAACCTATACTCGCACAGCCCACTGAACTCACCTGGTCACTCACTCACACACCTGACACTCGCCTTACCGACTCGCACAGCTAGACTGGGCTAAGCAGAGCGTGGGGCAGAGAGAGGAGTCAGATGGGGGGAGAGGGAGAAGCGGAGCGAAGGGGGGCATGGGAGGAAATATGGGTGGGGTAGGAGGGGGAGAGTGAGTGGGGTGTGTGTGGGTGTGTGTGTAGGCGTGTGTGTAGATGTGGGTGTGTGTAGGTGTAGGTGTGGGTGTGTAGGTGTGTGGGTGTATGTGTGGGTGTGTGTGTAGGTGTGTGTGTGTAGGTGTGTGTGTGTGTAGGTGTGTATGTGGGTGTGTGTCTGTGTGTGTGGGGAGCGATAGTGTAGCGGTTAGCGCGCTGCGCTATGAACCTGGCGACCCGGGTTCGATTCCCGCTCACGGCCAACACCAGGGTGGGAGAGTGTGTGGTGGGTGGGAGGGAGAGTGTGTGGTGGGTGGGACGGGGTGTGTGTGGTGGGTGGGACGGGGTGTGTGTGGTGGGTGGGACGGGGTGTGTGTGGTGGGTGGGAGAGTGTGTGGTGGGTGGGAGAGTGTGTGGTGGGTGGGAGAGTGTGTGGTGGGTGGGAGAGTGTGTGGTGGGTGGGAGAGTGTGTGGTGGGTGGGACGGGGTGTGTGTGGTGGGTGGGAGAGTGTGTGGTGGGTGGGACGGGGTGTGTGTGGTGGGTGGGAGAGTGTGTGGTGGGTGGGACGGGGTGTGTGTGGTGGGTGGGTGGGTGGGACGGGAGAGTGTGTGGTGGGTGGGTGGGTGGGAGGGAGAGTGTGTGGTGGGTGGGTGGGTGGGACGGGAGAGTGTGTGGTGGGTGGGTGGGAGGGAGAGTGTGTGGTGGGTGGGTGGGAGGGAGAGTGTGTGGTGGGTGGGTGGGAGGGAGAGTGTGTGGTGGGTGGGTGGGAGGGAGAGTGTGTGGTGGGTGGGTGGGAGGGAGAGTGTGTGGTGGGTGGGTGGGAGGGAGAGTGTGTGGTTGGTGGGTGGGTGGGAGGGAGAGTGTGTGGTGGGTGGGTGGGAGGGAGAGTGTGTGGTGGGTGGGTGGGAGGGAGAGTGTGTGGTGGGTGGGTGGGTGGGTGGGAGGGAGAGTGTGTGGTGGGTGGGTGGGAGGGAGAGTGTGTGGTGGGTGGGTGGGTGGGAGGGAGAGTGTGTGGTGGGTGGGTGGGTGGGAGGGAGAGTGTGTGGTGGGTGGGTGGGTGGGAGGGAGAGTGTGTGGTGGGTGGGTGGGTGGGAGGGAGAGTGTGTGGTGGGTGGGTGGGTGGGAGAGTGTGTGGTGGGTGGGTGGGTGGGAGGGAGAGTGTGTGGTGGGTGGGTGGGTGGGAGGGAGAGTGTGTGGTGGGTGGGTGGGTGGGAGGGAGAGTGTGTGGGTGGGTGGGTGGGTGGGAGGGAGAGTGTGTGGTGGGTGGGTGGGTGGGAGGGAGAGTGTGTGGTGGGTGGGTGGGTGGGAGGGAGAGTGTGTGGTGGGTGGGTGGGTGGGTGGGAGGGAGAGTGCGTGGTGGGTGGGTGGGTGGGAGGGAGAGTGCGTGGTGGGTGGGTGGGTGGGAGGGAGAGTGCGTGGTGGGTGGGTGGGTGGGAGGGAGAGTGTGTGGTGGGTGGGTGGGTGGGAGGGAGAGTGTGTGGTGGGTGGGGTGGGAGGGAGAGTGTGTGGTGGGTGGGTGGGTGGGAGGGAGAGTGCGTGGTGGGTGGGTGGGAGGGAGAGTGCGTGGTGGGTGGGTGGGAGGGAGAGTGCGTGGTGGGTGGGTGGGAGGGAGAGTGCGTGGTGGGTGGGTGGGAGGGAGAGTGCGTGGTGGGTGGGTGGGAGGGAGAGTGCGTGGTGGGTGGGTGGGAGGGAGAGTGCGTGGTGGGTGGGAGGGAGAGTGCGTGGTGGGTGGGGAGGGAGAGTGCGTGGGTGGGTGGGAGGGAGAGTGCGTGGTGGGTGGGAGGGAGAGTGCGTGGTGGGTGGGAGGGAGAGTGCGTGGTGGGTGGGAGGGAGAGTGCGTGGTGGGTGGGAGGGAGAGTGCGTGGTGGGTGGGAGGGAGAGTGTGTGGTGGGTGGGAGGGAGAGTGTGTGGTGGGTGGGAGAGACGGGGTGTGTGTCGTGGGTGGGTGGGACGGGGTGTGTGTGGTGGGTGGGAGGGAGAGTGTGTGGTGGGTGGGAGGGAGAGTGTGTGGTGGGTGGGAGAGACGGGGTGTGTGTCGTGGGTGGGTGGGACGGGGTGTGTGTGGTGGGTGGGTGGGACGGGGTGTGTGTGGTGGGTGGGTGGGTGGGACGGGGTGTGTGTGGTGGGTGGGTGGGACGGGGTGTGTGTGGGTGGGTGGGTGGGACGGGGTGTGTGTGGTGGGTGGGAGAGTGTGTGGTGGGTGGGAGAGTGTGTGGTGGGTGGGAGGGAGAGTGTGTGGTGGGTGGGAGGGAGAGTGTGTGGTGGGTGGGAGGGAGAGTGTGTGGTGGGTGGGAGGGAGAGTGCGTGTGTGGGTGGGAGGGAGAGTGCGTGGTGGGTGGGAGGGAGAGTGCGTGGTGGGTGGGAGGGAGAGTGCGTGGTGGGTGGGAGGGAGAGTGCGTGGTGGATGGGAGGGAGAGTGCGTGGTGGGTGGGAGGGGAGTGTGTGGTGGGTGGGAGAGTGTGTGGTGGGTGGGAGAGTGTGTGGTGGGTGGGAGGGAGAGTGTGTGGTGGGTGGGAGGGAGAGTGTGTGGTGGGTGGGAGAGACGGGGTGTGTGTGGTGGGTGGGTGGGACGGGGTGTGTGTGGTGGGTGGGTGGGTGGGAGAGTGTGTGGTGGGTGGGAGAGTGTGTGGTGGGTGGGAGAGTGTGTGGTGGGTGGGAGGGAGAGTGTGTGGTGGGTGGGAGGGAGAGTGTGTGGTGGGTGGGAGGGAGAGTGTGTGGTGGGTGGGAGGGAGAGTGTGTGGTGGGTGGGTGGAATAGAGAATTTGTGGTAGGTGGGTGGAATGGAGAATTTGTGGTAGGTGGGTGGAAGAGTGTGCGGAGGGTGGGAGGGTGAGTTTCGGGTGGGTGGGCGGGAGAGTGTGTGGTGGGTGGGACGGAGAGAGTGTGGTGGGTGGGAGAGAGTGTGGTGGGTGGGAGAGAGTGTGGTGGGTGGGAGAGAGTGTGGTGGGTGGGAGTGTGGTGGGTGGGTGAGAGAGGAGTGTGGTGGGTGGGAGGGAGGGAGAGAGTGTGTGGTGGGTGAGAGAGAGTGTGGTGGGTGGGAGGGAGTGTGGTGGGTGGGAGGGAGGGAGAGAGTGTGGTGGGTGGGAGGGGGAGTGCGTGGTGGGTGGGAGGGAGAGTGCGTGGTGGGTGGGAGGGAGAGTGCGTGGTGGGGTGGGAGAGTGGCGTGGTGGGTGGGAGGGAGAGTGCGTGGTGGGTGGGAGGGAGAGTGCGTGGTGGGTGGGAGGGAGAGTGCGTGGTGGGTGGGAGGGAGAGTGCGTGGTGGGTGGGAGGGGAGAGTGCGTGGTGGGTGGGAGGGAGAGTGCGTGGTGGGTGGGAGGGAGAGTGCGTGGTGGGTGGGAGGGAGAGTGCGTGGTGGGTGGGAGGGAGAGTGCGTGGTGGGTGGGAGGGAGAGTGTGTGGTGGGTGGGAGGGACAGTGTGTGGTGGGTGGGAGGGAGAGTGCGTGGTGGGTGGGATGGGAGAGTGCGTGGTGGGTGGGAGGGAGAGTGCGTGGTGGGTGGGAGGGAGAGTGCGTGGTGGGTGGGAGGGAGAGTGCGTGGTGGGTGGGAGGGAGAGTGCGTGGTGGGTGGGAGGGAGAGTGCGTGGTGGGTGGGAGGGAGAGTGCGTGGTGGGTTGGAGGGAGAGTGCGTGGTGGGTGGGAGGGAGAGTGCGTGGTGGGTGGGAGGGAGAGTGCGTGGTGGGTGGGAGGGAGAGTGCGTGGTGGGTGGGAGGGAGAGTGCGTGGTGGGTGGGAGGGAGAGTGCGTGGTGGGTGGGAGGGAGAGTGCGTGGTGGGTGGGAGGGAGAGTGCGTGGTGGTGTGGGAGGGAGAGTGCGTGGTGGGTGGGAGGGGAGAGTGCGTGGTGGGTGGGAGGGAGAGTGCGTGGTGGGTGGGAGGGAGAGTGTGTGGTGGGTGGGTGGGAGGGAGAGTGTGTGGTGGGTGGGAGAGACGGGGTGTGTGTCGTGGGTGGGTGGGACGGGGTGTGTGTGGTGGGTGGGTGGGTGGGACGGGGTGTGTGTGGTGGGTGGGTGGGACGGGGTGTGTGTGGTGGGTGGGTGGGACGGGGTGTGTGTGGTGGGTGGGTGGGACGGGGTGTGTGTGGTGGGTGGGTGGGACGGGGTGTGTGTGGTGGGGTGGGAGAGTGTGTGGTGGGTGGGGAGAGTGTGTGGTGGGTGGGAGGGAGAGTGTGTGGTGGGTGGGAGGGAGAGTGTGTGGTGGGTGGGAGGGAGAGTGTGTGGTGGGTGGGAGGGAGAGTGTGTGGTGGGTGGGAGGGAGAGTGCGTGGTGGGTGGGAGGGAGAGTGCGTGG